AATAATTCAAAGGCAGTGAACACGATGGCTGGAGGGCGGAGCGGTTTTGATGACGTCATTGAACCAGATCCTCAGTGCGCTAAAGATTTAGTTGGGAGCACCTCCTAACGCCCTCACACTACCGCTCCGCTCTGCGGTCCTCGTGTCCACTGCCTTTAGGTTATCATTGGACTTACAGAAGCGGGTACCTCTCCAGTGTTCTGTATCCAGGGATATGGAGCCAAAAGCTGCCCACACATTTGTACTGCCGTGCTATACGTAGGCGTCCAACCCCGCATTATTCTCGCTGAAGTACAGGGGTAGGACTACACTTCATCATGGCATTGTTCGGCACGCGTAAGCGATGTGGCGCAAATGGTATCCCACTCGGTAGATGGCGCTGTTATAGTTTCTTCTCCAGATTAATAAAATTCTCTCAAAATGCATAATTGCAGCTTGTTCTGGGTTCAGCAGTAAAATCTGCTACAAGGTATTGCCAGCTTGGTTGGATGTTACCTTTAATGTCATCAAGAGCAGCCCTGTACCTGCCAGTTACAATAAGAAACGTCGAGGTAACCTGCCCTCCACGCAACGAAACACGTCACAGTTGTAGTATTATTTAGTAGGGGTGTGCGTCATATGGCGCGATCCCATTGGCATTGGAGCGCACAGGTCGTAAGTTACCACATCCTGCTGTGGCCGGACAACTCGTCCGCGCACCACATTCCATCCACTCCTCTTGCCTTGGCATCAGGCCAATAGAAGCTATCCGCTTTTTAAAGATCATTGAGGCTCATCGTGATTTCTGAGACCCAACTTACCAGATCGATCAACTGTTGAATTATAGTAGTTGAGTGACGCGGACGAGTTGTCCGCAACAGGATGGGGCTGTGCGCTCTAATGCCAATGGATCGCGCCATATGACCGCCTCTCATTTAGTAGTACACGAATTCGAAAAAACTTATACATATAACATGATTTTTTGACGCTTCTGATGCTATCTGGTGTCACGCCACTGTGTGACTAGGTCTGCAATTACGACATCTTCCGATGCGGGAAACAGAGCGTATTTATAGTACTACTACCAAGGGCTGTCTCTGCAACATCTCAACGTTTTACTGGAGGGAGACGAGACACAATATCGCTTGAGGGAAGCCAGACGGTTATTTTGCGTCACCGTTACGGTAAGCATCATTCATACGGGGGAGGGCTTCTAAGCCAGAAAGAAAGAGTAGGGCTTCCGGGATTTGGGAAAAGCAAAATCGCTGACGTCGCACGAAGTCCCTCCCTCCAATACAGACTCGCATAACCGCCCACCTGAGCCACATTGCCTGCTTCAGATTTCAAAGCGCTAGCGTGAAGTCCTTCCCGTAGAAGATGAAGAATAAAGCATACAGGATCTCTTGTTGGGATGCGCCATGCATTCTATCTCTGTTCAGATTCGTAGTGGCATTTGAATGCGATGTGGCCTATACAATGACTTGCGGGGGCCAGCCGATGTACAAGTCAGTGTTTTTATCCTCCCAGACAAGTCTGGCAATTAACCGACCCCGGAGGGATGGAAAGATTGGCTTGGGTGTCGTGCGTCCAGGGCTTGATCCTCGGGCCCTACGCATGGTAACCAACACCACCTGCTTCATACCTTGTCATAACTTTTCAGGGTCTCATGATTTCTGTGAACCGTGAGGCTTAGGCGATTCAGCGTATTGTGACGCCGTCTGGGAGCTTCCACTCACATTATTGCAGCATTATTTACCTTCTTTCAAAGGCTTAGTAGTAATACTACACAAAGCATATGCTTTTCGGTGATAAGTGAGTTGGGGGGGGGGGGTAACCACGTGGTGCTGGAGCCTCTTAAGCGCGATGGCCGGAAAAGTGGGTAGGCTGAAAACAGCGTAATTTGTGATTCCGACTTTTCTCACTTTTGAGCTTCCTTCCCAGGCTCAGGCTGAGGCGTCTGCTTTTCCACCTACCCTCTCACCCTCTGGTTGAGAGAACTTTTATAACCAACATTTCAGAGCAGAGACGCAGAGGAGGTACTGTGTACCCTCACTGTCTAGACTCTCAATAACCCTGCGGCGATTGCCGGGAATGACTGCTCAAATTGGACTTTCCCACAATCAACCATCAATGGATAGCTTTATGTTGCTTTACCAAACATATAGGATATAAGATCAACCTGATAAGTATGAAAACCTGTGTAGAGAGCCGACGCCCCGGCAACGGTCGGGGTGGAAGGGGCGGGCGCAGACTGATCTTTGAACTGGCGCAGTTGCGGCTCCGCCCCACAGCGGCCGTGCCGGCTCATTTGGGACGCCATCGG